CTTATGGGAGTAGAGAGCCTCATCTTTCTGCCATGGAGCAGTTGGTGGTTTCAAACTGCTGGCCTTGCTAAACATAGCCCAACATGTAACCACTATACCACCAGGGCTCTTTAAGTAAGGTACACTCACTGCCACTGAGTAGATGCTGACTCAGAGTGACCCTGTAGGTCAGGCTGGAACTGCCCCTGTGATTTTCCGAGACTGTAACTCTTCAAGGAACTAGAAAGCCCAATCTTTCTTGTGCAGTGGCTGGTAGTTTCTAATGGCTGACCTTGCAGTTAGATGTACAAACACTGCCTAAGTAAGGTATAAAGAGCTCTAACTGTTATTAGTCAGTTTTGCCATTTTACTGGGCAGAAAAGTAAGCCTTCTAAAAGCAGAAACAGAGCAATCCCACGACATCAAGAAAGGAGAGCCACTACAGACCAGTCACATGATCCCTGCCTGAAGTGGCAGTCAGGAGAGGCACCAGCACTGAGATCATGAGACAGAACCGAGGAAGTTCCTGGAACAAGCAATGTCGAGTGCCTTCAGGCAGGAGGTCGGCTTGCAGAGTGGGGTGTCCTTTGGGCACTTATCAGTGCTGACAGTGCTTTCGTAACATAACACTTGATCAAGAGGGGCGGAAGCCAAGGTACCATGTGGCTGTGAGGCCAGAGACCAGACAGACATGGCTGCTGGCATGCCTGAAACAAGGAGCTGACTCCTGACAGTTTTTGTTACTGACTTATAACCTGTTATAAACCTCATAACTGTGAATATTGTCTGTGAATTCTGTATGGCCATTGCAAGGGATTATTGGGCCCAGCAGAGAAGTCCAGTGTGTTGGGAGGGATGGTTGGTGTCAAAACAGGATAAAGAAGGATGGAGCCATTCTAGAGAATTATCTAACCCAAGGGGGCAGTGGTAGCCAGCAGGTCACAAGTGAGGGAGCCTGGAGACTTCTGAGCTATGGATGGCATCCTGGGGGTGGGGGTGAACCTAATTTTGTAACCAAGAGGCTAGAAGTAGGAATGTCATGGAGACACCCACCTCCACGCTAGCAACTGGCATCTGAAGTCTTGTGCAGATTAGGCAGCCTAGAGGACTGTGCCCTTTTGTGAGATCTGACTTGGTTGGCTTTGATGGTTAGGATCAGAGGAAGCATAGCATATATAGTTAAATTGGATCTGAACTGAAGAGATTTAATTAAAATTTAATTCCTTCAATTTAGTTGGTGACAGAGAAGTGGATTAGATGGAGCTGATTTAATGGATACCTTGCATTTGCCAAAGCAAATAAAACTAAGAGAATGGTCCACACACCAGAAATCCTGGTCAGCCCAGTTGATCACTGTTCCCCTCCAGACACCAAATGCCAATCTGATTCTGATCTCTATTGACCTCTTACGGCCTTCCCTCAATGCACTTTCTCCCAAACCCATGGCCATACCTAGGGATAGAAAAAGGTATCGTTTGTGACCTCAAAGGGCTTGCAATCTAGTAGCTCAGTTCCAACAAAATGTATGTGTCTTTTCATGCCACTCTGAGAAGTAAGCATTGTAGTCAGTCTAATGGTGCAGTGGAGAAAACTGAGGGACCAGAGGATAAATTGCTTGCCCGAGTATACCCTTGGTAACTGGTGGAGTTAGGACTGACACTCGAGTCTTTGTGAACTCAGAGTCTTGACAGGTCAATTAAGCATGTCAGAAAGAGGCCAATCTGGTTGGGAGGGTAGCATTTGGACTAGACCTTGGGAAATGGGTAGTGTTGATAGCCGATCATTTAGTTTGGTTGAAGGGCAACATGGTCGGCCAAAGATCAGACTGTGGTCAGCTATTAACTGCTCCTGTTGGGCTGGCTCCTGACTCAGGGCTATGCACAATAAAACAAAGAATGCTGGCTGGTCCTGCACCATCCTTATGGCAGGCTGCAGATCGGGTAGCTGTGATCCATAGGGTTTTCCTTGGGTGATAATGGGAAGGAGAATGACCAGTCTTCCTAATCCATGTCAGTCTGGAAGCTCTACGTACTGAAACCTGTTCAGCATTACATCCTCAACTGACAGACAGGTGGCGGTTATACATGAGGTGTGTTAGCTAGAAATCCACCCCAAGTGTCTCTCAGAAAAGGTGAGAATTCTACCAAAGCCTGTGCTGTAGCAGAAGGCATGTGCATCTCTTTGGGGGTATGGGGAATGGTTACCCTGGAAACAGAGAAGATATTGTCTTCAAAGGAGTGATAGCCATTCTTTGTTCTGGGTAATGAGAGATGCACTGAAGGAATACAAAGGCCTACTCAGCAAGTCCTTTCTCATTACTCACCCCTGAAATAAAAACTCTCATTTTTTTTATTTTACTATTTTACCCACGCAAGTTAGTACAATATCTGCTTTGATCAAGTGATGGGAGAGAGTAGGAAGGATTATTAATGTTCATTCCAATTTCAGATAACAGGTCTTTAACTCTCCCAGGCCCCCTAATTAACCCATTCATGACTTCAGGAACGGTTGGTATATAACTTCATTCCTACGTAGGCCACACTATGTCCCAAAACCCTCAAGAAGGGTTGACAGAAATCAGTCAAGAGAAATAGATACTATTTCTTAAAACTACCCTCATTCTTTAGATGGCACAAGGTCTGAAAGTCATGCAGTCTAGTCTAGTAATTTAATTTCCTCTAAAAAGTGAAAAATAAGAAAGGCATAAATCTCCCACCTTACGAAGGATAGTGAACCTGCAATTCCATGACAGAACTTTAACAGTGCTCAGTGTAAAACCAGGCTCTGTTCCACCTCCAGGCACCAAGGCACTTGCAGGTGTCCTGAAAGCCTAGTCTACAACAACCCTGCTGCCTTTGAATTGATGCCAACTCACTGGGAGCCTATAGGGCAGAGCAGAACTGCTTCATAGATGTTTACAGAACCCGACAGGCAGACTGCTCCAGCAGAGTAACCGAGGGGTTCAAACTGATGACCTTTCGGTTTGTAGCCCAATGCTTTCAACACTACATGACCAAGGCACCTTTCTACAACAACAACAAACAAGCTCACAGCCATTGCGTTGATTCTGATTCAAAGCAACCCAATAGGACAAGGCAGAACTACCCCTGTGGGTTTCAGAAATGTAACTCTAATAGAAAGCCTCCGCTTTCTCTCAAGGAGCTGTTGGTTTCGAACTGTGGACCTTGAGGATCACAGCTTAACACAAAAGCCACTAAGCCACCAGGGCTCTTTTCTGCGCCAAGGAGGGAGGAGTTAATGTAAAAATAATTATGGGAGTGTTTCTGGTAAAAGGCTTCCAGGAGTTTTATAAGCGAGTTCTGACCTGTGTCCTATCCCAAACGTCCCAGGAGAGACACTCATCTGCCATCAGCCTTTGGATACTACTTTGAGATAAAAAGATTTCAAAGGATTTCCCATAAAGTAAAGGTCCTTATCTAAAACTCAAGGGAAACTAAAGAGCTGCTATTTTTCTTTAAGGCACATTAATTGCTTCTACTTCCAAAAGTCATGGTGATGAGGTCGCTCCATATATCTTATCACTTAAGAACCCCAATAACCAAAGAACCTAAACTACTGCCGAGTCATTTTTGACTCCTACCGACTCGATATAGGGTTTCTGAGGTTGTAAGTCTTTACAGGAAGAGACAGTCTCATCTTTCTCCTGACAAGTTGCTGGTGGGTTTGTGTTACAACCCTTGTGGTGAGATGCCCAATGCCTAGCCCACATTCCACCATGGCCCTAGCTTATTCTCAGAGGGAACTAAGGCTAGAGTGGTTCTCAACCTGTGGGTCGCAACCCCTTTGGGGGTTGAACGACCTTTTCACAGGGGTCACCCGATTCATAACAGTAGAAAAATTAGTTATGAAGTAGCAATGAAAGTAAATTTATGGTTGGGGGGTCACCACAACATGAAGTGTCGAGACATTAGGAAGGTTGAGGACCACTGGGCTAGAGAGTAACCTGCTCAAAGCCACTGAGCCCAAAGCCTCATTTCAAACCCCTCCCCTCCCAACCAGGTGTCCTTGGCTTCATCCCACAACCAGATGTATGTCTTGTTGAACCCCACACTGCTGGGGAACACCCCCACAAACACACAGAGCAAAGAGCTATGCATCCTTTACTGCATCGGTATCTCATCCTAAAAGCTAACTACAGTAGAAGCTAAAGGAGAGGTTTTGCTAGTCCACCGAGCCTTAATCTGCCTTCTCGCCAATCCTCGGGCCCCACTCCGAGGTTCACTTTCATCCAGCGCTGCTGTAATCCTCATCGGCCTAAAAACACTCCCATCCCAGTTTTCAAAGGGAAAACTGTGGGCACACAAATGACCAAGAGACATGACTCCACAAGAAGGCAGGTCCAGGGAGTCGGAACACACCAGGTCGAGACCAGTATCAGTCACTCCCTGTGGACCTCCTGAAACATAGAATGGAGTTGATAAGCAGCAACCCGCACTGAAAGGAAGGGAGAAGCAACTGTCTTTTTATGTTCTTCAGACGAACAGCAGATTCGTGGGATGGGACGGTTCCCATCGGGTGCTGGACGAATTTTGTTTCTTTTCCTTACCTCCCATCCCACCTCCATCTTTAGACGAGAAAGGGAAATAGACGGGTCCGAACTTCTGAAGCAACATATAGAGTTCGAATGTACATGGGAGAGGGGAAAGAGGAGGGAGGCGGGGTTAGGAAAAATCACACCTATCTTCCCTCCTGCTGACCCCGAATCCTGAGCTCAGAATTCAAGTGATCACAGCACAAAACGAGCTCCAAGCGGGTCAAACAAGCCGCCCCCAGGGACCACCTTCTTCCGGATCACAGGGAAGAGACCGTCGCCAGAGACAAAAGTCAGAGAGATGGGGGACCCTGGAGGTCGCATCAGTAGAGATCCATTTCCCCAGAACCCACCGGGCCGGGTCGCGTCGGCCGCACCGCCTGGGGGGGACCGGACAGCCAGAGCAGGCACACAGCCCCTACGCCCTCCCGGTGCCCCGCAGCCCGCCCGGGCGCCGGCGGTCGCTCACCTGCGCCGGACACAGCAGCAGCAGGAGGCCGAGGGCCAGGCTGCGCGCCCTCATGTTGCTGCCGCGCCGCCTGTGAGGGTCACAGGGGATCCGCTCGTACCCGCCGCGTCCCAGACGCCGCCTCCCTTCAGAGTGCGGACCCCGTGCCCGCGCAGGGAGGGAGGGAGCAAGCGTCGGCAGCGGCGTGCTGCGCGCGCAGGTCAGGAAGAAAGCAGGCGCCGCCGGCTCCTCCCCCTTCTGGGCGGGGCTAGCGCCGGGACCCCCTGGCCTGATGGCGCCCTCCGGGCCCCGCCCCCTGGACGACTTTCCACTCGCTCTGGTTTTGTAGTGCTCGGCACCAAGACCGGGTTTGGGGCTGGTCGGGTTGGGGCGGTGGGAGCTTCTGGAGGTTCCCAGAGCCAGGCAGCTGCACTTTGGGAATCAGCCCACGCTCGTAAAGGAGAGTCAGAGAAAAAGAGGAAGGCTCTCAACGAGATGGATGGACGCAGGAGCTGCAACAATAAGGGCAAACATGATGACCATTGTGAGGGTGGCGCAGCACCGGACGGTGTTTCCTTTGTAGAGCATAGGATAGTTATGCATCGAACCGATTTGGGGCCGCCTAATAACATCTGCAACTGCTAGTAGGATAGCATGGCACCAGACTGCATTTACTCCAGGAGCGCATGAATTATGCATAGCGTCACCAGGAGGGCAGCTGATAATAAATAACAGGTTGGAGAGGGTTACTCCGAGCAATTTCTCCTCCCAAACCCAGTGACTCAAAAGGAATGGGACACCAGCTCCAAGCGGTGACGCACAATGGCCTGACGGTGTGGTGATCCGGGGGCGGAGCGAAGAGGTGGGTGGTGCCCTTGGCCACCCTAACTTTGCTTACAATCAAAGCGCCTCATTTGGAGAAAGCATCAGAACTCCACCACCTGCTGGTGGAGCAACGCGTAGCCACGCAGCCGTGGGCCGGTTGGCCGGGGAAGACTCTAGGAGGTGGGGACTACAGAGACCGTTTTTAAGTTTTAAATGAGACCAGAAAAAAGATTAAATTAAAAGAGTCTGCGTTTATGAGCCTGGGTGCTGGTGGTGGTGGTGGCGGTGGTGCTACTGCTGCTGGTGGAGCTGGTGGTGCTGCTGGTGG